AATGTGTGATTGTAATGAAGAGAAAAAAATTTAATGTAATAGGGACCAAACAAGGGCTGAGTCATATCGTATTTACGATGTCATAAATGTTGTATTTGGAACAGTGGTTTGTAAAATGAATCTTAGAATAGATATAACAATGCCATCATTACTTTTTATAATATTTGCATGCATGACAACTATCCATCACAGAATCATCCAACACATAAGTGATTACTCAAGCGAGTATCGAAAGATTAAGTATCTTGAAAACTTCGAGAAGGTTATGGAAGTCGAATTAAAGCGAGAATGGTAGTTGAAGTCATGAAGGTACATGTATGTATTAGACACTTGATATTATTAAGAGAGACGGCATGAGTCTGTAACCGCTGTCCTGAACATACTGTCCTCTCAATACATTTTTGATACTTGGACATATGGTCTCTAATTTGCAAATGGGAAGATGCCAAGGTATAATGTATGAAGATGTCAAAAAATGTGTTGATGGATTTTGTCAGCACTTCAAATGCTGGTACATAATAGGCGCCACAATATTAGCCATGTGGGGGTTTGTGGTGTCTGGTTGTAGACAACGTGGGATGTTGAAAATTTTGTCTTGTTTTATCACGGACTTGGATCCATTAGTCAGGTTGGCCAAGCACATTCTCGACGGACTAGGATGATTGAACGTCCAGACGAGCAGGTGTCGAGCTAGAGGGGGGTCATGGGCCCTTTTTGTTTACTCTTAACCAAAATTGACCAAAAAATAAACAAATTAAAATGCAGTAGGCTTGACGGGGTAGGCGTTCGGACGTCACCTTTTTAAACAAAGGAGTACTGAGAATGGATCCAAACCAAGATACAACAAAATACTGAGAATGGATTAAAATCAAGATCATGCACTTGTATGATTTATTCAACATTAAATTTAATATAAAAGGATAACATAAAAAAAACGAATAAAGTCATCTCCTTCAGATTACATCATTCAAAAGCAGCAGAAGCAGGCTTTGGTGGATTGTGCAGGAAAATGTCGAGGAGTTGATCGACTGTAGTGAACTTGAGGTCCGAATACAAATCTGAAGCTTCAATGTCATTCTCTCCAAGAACGAAGTTCATTGTAACTCCCTTTATAAAGAGACTGTGAAGGATGGAGACTGGTATATTGCTTGGATCTGGTAAAGCTGCCAAAAAAACAAGATTTCTTAAAATCCATACAGAATAGAGGACTATGAACACAACTAGATACTACAACAATATTTCTAAGCCCATGTTTGAGCCACATTAAAATTTTCATTCTTATTTTTCTACTCATTTTCAACCTCACATTCTTCAATAAAATAATATATTTCAGCACATCAATAACTTTTTCTTCTTTTTCAACCACACATTTTCCATCAATTTACTATTTCAAAATACATTCTTCCAAAATAATGTAATGTTTGATAATTCAAAAAGACAAGTTTCGGAGAACCAAGATAGCACAAAATTATTGAAAGTACAAGCATGTTTGGCTCCACTTAAAAGTTAGATTTTTCTGACTTCGTAGGGTAGTACCTTGTGAGTTTGGGGCTGCGATGAATAAGTGTAAGCTCATTAGATTTCTATAATGGGTAAAACATTATCTTTTCTTGAATCAAGACACTTTTAGCTAGTTTGCTCCATAAATAGCCATCATTATAGTTAGATCAGGCCAGAATTAATTTTGTAGTTTGATGGAAACTTAAATATGACATTAATGACTTACTCTTTGAAAGAAAGACAATTTCTTCCTCTGGAACATGAATCTTCTTAAAAGTCCGACCCGTTTTCTTCTCCCATAAAGAGATCAACTCCAGCTGTGATATAATGTTGGTTGAAGGCCGATATAAAACGACCCGATTGCATGCTCTTGGATCAGTTGCCACTTTTATAGTATAAATTCCAATATCTTCTTCGAAATTCAGCACAGCTGAACAAATATAACGTGTAAAAAAACTAGAAATTTCGAAAGAATGCAAAGATATGTTTTCGTTTAAATTTAGCAATACATGTAATGAAGCAAAAACTTGAACAATAACAAATAGTCTTATTTGCAATAAATTTCGAGTGGCAACACGCCGATATTGGTTTTGAAAGGAGGGATGGATAGTGAATCGAACAGTGCAATGAAAACGATATAAAAAGAACACAGAGAAAAATAGTTTTAGAGAATTGCAGTAAATTAATGTTCGGATTTACCTTTGGCCTGACCACTGCCATATACAGTTATCTCCTCCTTTTGCTCATGTGGACCGAGCAAATAATTTATGAAATATGCACCAAAGCAATTTGCAGACACAAAAGTGTATGGGATTTTTGCTTCTTCTATGGCCCTTCTGATTTTCTTCTTCTTGTCAAGAAGTGCTTGGAATGGGGGCAGCACACTGATTCTATCCTCTTCGCAGCCAAAATCCGATGGAAGAAATCTCTGCAACGATAAACTTGTTATGAATTAAGCCTTAGTCTCGTACTTGTGAGAGCAACAAAAAATCAAATACCAATCACATCAACCTTTATGCCACCAGCAACCTTGATGGCCTCTATGATTTTGAGTTGATCAAGAACTTGAGGAAAAGCCACTGCAGAGATCACCACATCAACTTCTTTAAGCACTGAAACTAACTTGTCATGATCCTCTAACTCTCCCTACAACCACATTGCAATTTAGAAGTAAATGTTAAGAACCCATGCATAAAATTCAAGACTTGAAGGTTAGGAGTTACCTACTTTGACAATAACGGCACCCATCGACTCAAACTCATTAAGCAATTCTGTCTTGGAAGAATTTGGCCTTGAATAAACATAAGTGGGATGGCCTAATTTGATGCTGGCCTTCACCATATAGCTGCCAATGTAGCCTGTTCCTCCCATAATGAGGATTTTATTCTCATTTCTTGCCATTTTGCTTATTTTCTTATTGTTTTCTACATGAATTAATGTATCTGCAGTTTCATTTATATAGTGTACAGAGCCTGCGCTCATATGAATCTTAACGTAAAATAAAGATGAAGGCATAGAAAAGAAAACATAGAAACCTGCCAAAATTGAATGTTGACGGGACACTAATACTGCCAGCCCAAAGATGTTGAAAAGAGAGTAAGAGAAATGAAAGAACCACATGAAATTTTGGTATATGTTGGCTACGGGCAATTCATTGCCTAAAAGTAAAAACATTTCATTGCCTGAAGAGGGAAAACGTCTTTTTTCTATATGTAGTCAAGTCTGCCGAGCAACCACCTTTTGGGATGGCTACATTTTCCTACACCAGTTGGTAAAGGCCACAACGCCCAACACTGTCGTTTATCTTGTGTGGATGTTAAAAAGCTCGTTTAAAGAGATATGATGCAATGAGCACTGTTGTTTATCTTATGTTAAGTAACATTGGCATGACACATCAATTAACTGATGAATTGTTTAAATTCGGAAATTCATTATGAACTTGTTCACCAATTAATTATTGTATAATGTCAATGTTATGTTAAGCAAGGATGCTTAGTAGATCATTTCTCGCCTTGGATATATAGAAGGTTGTTCCATATTGAAAAGTGAAGGAAAGTTAGACTAGCTTATAATGTTATTCACTTTACAAACAGGGGCGGATGCAGAACTTTAACGTTGGGGGGGCATAATCGAACTTACAAAGAAGTTGATAGAAATTTTACAATCGAAAATTTACGTCCAAAAAAATCATACTCCATGTAATTTTACATCCAAAAATTTACATGGGATATGACTTTTTCAGATGTAAAATTTTGAAAATTTTTGAAAATTTCCTAATAAAATGATGAAAATTATATTGAGAAATTTGTATTGCAAAAATAATAAATGTTAATTAAATAATTGAATTTTTTTTAAAAAAAATGCGAGTTAGACGTCTTTTTAAAGGTTCACGTTTAACGGATTTTTAACTATTTTCGATATAT